GTTGAAATGCAACTCCCCTGTTGCAGGTTTGCAGGCTACTTACATGCATATTCTTACTATCAACGATAGATTCCTCGGTCCAATTACCTTTGTATTCCAAGGGATCTCTCTCTTTGAATCATTGGGCCGCATACTTCCACCAAACTTCTGTTGGAACTTATCTCAATTGCCATTACCTTGCGAGCTTACAAGCATTGCACAGAAAAACAGAATCGAAGGTTTGTACCATTCTAAGTTCACACCCAGATTAAAATAGTAGCACTCTTCATTTTTTCTAATAATTTCCCCTTTGCATTTTTAGGGTGTCACTGGAGATCTCACAGACAAGACAGATGAAGTTCCAAAGTTTCTAAGGTTTAAACTTTTAAATATTTATTTTGCTGATTTATTGTTTCATATGCTGTATGTACATTCATAATTAAACTACAATTTCTATATTAGGTTTTCATCGGCAGGCATGGAACATCTTGAAAAACATGTAATTGAATTCTTCCATGAACTTCCTGATTTACCAATTGTGTGCATTAGTATGCTTGGAGGTGATATTGTGAATGTTCTTGGGGAAACACTTCTTCTCCCTTCCCCTTTTCCTGCTTGGATGTTGATCTCAAGGTTTGATTCAACAAACAAGCCTACCACGATGCTTCTACCAGTGGATCCTATTTCGAAAGGTGTGTAGATTTCCTCTTGTGATTGCATACTGTACTATGAGTTGATATTGGGTCTCTTGCACTTTTTATTCACATGTTTCTTGTTTGACAGAAGCAGAGAATGGAGACTCTTCTATCAAACAACTGGATAATCCAACTAGAACATCAGATAAGGAATGGAAGTGCCCTTGGAGCTACACTATAATAGACTATGTGGCTCCAACTTTCAAAAAGCTACTTGAGGATAACTTTAGATCCCTCTCTGGTGCGACCCACATTCCAGAGGATGGAAAAGCAAACGCCATAAGGTGGTGGTCAGATAGAATGAAGCTCAATGATGACCTTAGTGAGATGTTGGAGTAAGATTTCTTCTGTCTATTATACGGAAAGCTGTATATATTTTACAACGATACTCTAGATATCTTGCTCAATACATTATTGAAAATTTGTGTTGTCATGATAAGATTATATTTCAATAATCATTTTCCTTTGTTCTGATATCTTGTTCATGGTTTTGAACAGAAACATTGAAGAATTGTGGCTAGGACCCTGGAAATGCCTTCTCCTGGGCCACCAATTAGCTGACCAACATAGCAAGTCAGTGCTGGAAAATCTAATCACTGCTCTGGATTCAGAATTTAAACTTGAAGTAGATCCAGCACTCATCAAGGTCATCCTTGGTGGGGTTGCATCAGTGGATGAATTGAAAGAATGTGTTTCTCAACTTATATCATACAAAAGTTACTTTGGCAGGGGAGGGTGTTGCGGAAGAGATAGACTTAGAGCCTTCTGTTGCCAGACTGATGGTGAAGCTCTGGTGACCCTCGAGCATTTGTGCAATGGTATAGTGGATGAGCTATCTGAGCCAATTGACAGAAATCCGGTCATTTTAGTCCTGGATACTGATGTGCAGGTGAGCAACATGATATCCTTATTGTTGTCTTCTTCTGTTATTAAAAAGGTCTTTTTAGCTCTGTGTTATAAGTTTTGATGGATGTTCTGCTTTACTGATTAGCTGCTAGAAGGGATAATTACCATGAATGCTGTGTCATCTGCATCTAACCTGACGTGCTCTAATGTAATTCATTTTTGTGATAAATAATTAAACAATGAATGAAATTAACAGTGTAAGGTTAGACCTTCGATAGGTAAAGTTCAGTCATCTTAGCATGTATGTTGCTTGGGTACAACCCCATACTGTCTGCTTGAAGTTACTGCATCATCTTAGCATGTATTGTTTGTCTAGCAATATTGCCAGTAGCAGCTTTTTACGATACCCATCATATATCTTCTTTAACCTCTATACAATGGCTGAATGCAGATGCTTCCTTGGGAGAACTTGCCTGCTTTAAGGAATCAAGAAATATACCGCATGCCATCAATGAGAAGCATCTTTCTAGCATTGACTAGAAGCACTAATCATCACAAAGATGCCAGTGCCATGGCCCCTCCTTTTCCTGTTATTGACCCTTTCGATGCATTCTATCTGTTGAATCCTAGTGGTGATTTGATCAGCACACAAGAAGAATTTTATCAGTTGTTTAGAAACTATGAGTGGAAGGTAACAATGATATCCTCACTCTTGTTCAAACATCCTTTTTCTCACTCTGTATATTGCAAAAGAAAAATTCTACTACATGTGTTGTATAAAACAAAACGTGGTTTGGCATGCAGAAGTGGTAAACTTACTGCTCTCTTTACACTCCAGAAATGATAAATATAAATGGCTAGGCCATGAATCCAAGAATGATGCAAGTTTTGTTAAAGGATAAATTTGGATTATTCTTAAAACAACCACCAGCATATAATTGTGATGCATCGATGGCATGCAGGGAAATGCTGGGGATGCTCCAACAGCTGAAGAGCTCGTCTTGGCCCTGAGGAATCATGATCTTTTTCTCTACTTTGGACATGGAAGTGGTAATGCACTATGGATATAAATATTGGTAGCTTTGTCATTTTGTTGACTTTTGCGTAGTGTCGGAAGTCATTTGAACTTGGACAGCTTCAGCCTTTGAAGCTATCTAAGTGTGGTGCACTAATACCATAATATCCACCTTACAGGGTACAAATAGCGCTTGCTAAAAAGCACTCTGATTGTTTATTACAATTTGCTATCGGCATAGCTACCCTTGTGAATTTAATCTTCTATATCTAAATAACTAGCCCTCACTAGCCTATTTCTCTAAACATGCAAGCATGCCACCTCATCATTCAACATGCATGAAGAAAGGTTCACCACAACATGCAATCATGCACAATAAAAAGCAAACTTCAACATCCAAATATGCATGAGAATTTACATTCTACTATGATATTTATTTTCATCTTTAGTTCTCATATTATTACTCTAAAAATTCATGTTCGATACAACCAGTTCTAACTGAATATATTGCAAAATATTCCCGCAACAACGTGCGGGGTATCATCTAGTTTGTACAAAATGCTCACCCAGCTTTATTGAAAGCTTCATGGGAACATTAACTAGATGGCACCATAATTTTAGGCTATAAAACTTATCACTTATAGTAGTAGTGGCATATTTATCAATAGAAACTACTGCTTGTGATGCTAGTGCCAACTAATGTCTCAAGTTCATGCTATTACTGTCTAGGAATATGAACTCCAACCACTAAGTAAGAAGTGTCCACTATTCAGATACTCCCTCTGTAAACTAATATAAGATCGTTTAGATAACTACTTTAGTGATCTAAACAATCTTATATTAGTTTACAGAGGGAGTACTTGTTAAAAACTGGTAGTTCAGGTAGGTACCTGTTGTACTAACACGGCTAGTCTGGAACAATGTTGCAGGAAGTCAGTATGTCTCTGGAAAGGAAATTGAGAAGTTAGATAACTGCGCAGCTGCTCTTCTTATGGGTTGCAGTAGTGGGACACTTCATTGCAAAGGCGGTTATGCTCCTCAAGGGGCACCTTTGTCTTATTTATTTGCTGGTTCTCCTTCTGTCATTGCAAACCTCTGGGACGTCTCGGATAAAGATATCGATCGATTTAGTAAAGCATTGCTGAATTCATGGTTGCAAGAAAAATTTAAGGCCGCCAAGAATTGCCCTAAATGTTGCCACCCACTAACACAAGAATTTGAGTCCACAACGATTGCTGCAAAGGATAATGGTAGGCCAAGACGAAAAGGTACACGACAAGGTCAGAAGCAGCAGCAGACAGGAGAGATAGATGGCAGTAGTAACCGCTGTAATTGCAGGCATAGGAGAATAGCTACGCATATAAGTGAAGCTAGGCGTGCTTGCAGGCTTCCGCTTATTATCGGCGCATCTCCTGTTTGTTACGGTGTGCCTACTATCATCAGGAAGAAGTAATGGTCTGCGCTTTAATGGGAGACTAGCTTATCCCCGCGTGGCGCCACGCCGCGCCCGTCGATACGGTGCGGTTATATGGATTATGTTTCTTCTTTGTAATACATGTTTTTATTTTAGGACGCCAGATGATCGCATGAAAAACTATGGATGTAGCAAAAAGAGATGGGAGGATGATGCATGTGAACAAACATGGGAATACACAATGACATATCTCTAGTAGGGACAATTTATTTTGCCGAACGTGGCGCGGGTCATTGACAGATTAGATCACCTGGTGTAGCCTCCTATTGGATTAGCTTCTATGATTAAGTAGTAAAGAGACACAAACAGTCGGAATTATATATATACACCATATGTAGTTAATATTTTTTCTTCTTCGTACTTTTTTTCCATAAACAAAGTATTTTTATTTAACATGCGCCTAAAACAAAAAACAAAAACAAACTGGTGTGACTACGTACGTACATGGTGCCCATGAAAGGGAACGCCCGTTGCCAAGGTGGCCACGTGCATGGATCGTGCATGGAGGGAATAGTATGCATGATCGACCATAGCTGTACGCTGCACGGTGCAAGACCATGGCGTGGCGGCGGATCGGGGCTGGCGCAGGGGCGGCGGTGCAGGCGCGGATCTGGCTCGGATCTGGCCTTGCGGGTGCAACCTCGGCTTCAGCGCGGGGAGAGGCTGGATCCTGGCCGGGCTTGGCCGGATCTAGCTTCTCCGCCCTCGATGGGGCTCGGTGGCTTCGTTCCGGCGGTCAGCGAGGGCTGGATCCCGGGGTGGCGGCCCCAGACGGTGGAGGATATGTCGGCGGCTGTGGACTCGCGACGGGCAACGCGGCGGTCGCGATGGTGGATGGTCCGTGCACAAGACGCTTGATAGAGGCCATTGGAACAGATCTGGGTGAAGACCTGCTCGCGGCTGCTGCCGAGGCCGGCGATGGCGGCACTATTCGGTGTCGTTCCTTTGTTGAAGGCATCGCTGTTGAGAAGTTTTAGGCCACTATCTGCTACCTCCGGGGGAAACCCTGAATCAGTAGATCGGATGACAGCGACATTATTTTGTCGTTTCCCTCTTGTGGCGTCATTCTTGAAGGTGTACACGAGCTCGAGGGACCAGTGGACGGAATAATTGGTGGAGCGGTGATTCATCCTGCATATTAATGGTGGCGTTTCTCTACGACGTGGCGCAGTGGAGACTCGGCGCCCGATGTGTGGCGAGGAACTCGCGCAGGAGGGTGACGTTATCAGGCGTCGTGGTGGCATCGATGGCAGAGAGGCCGGGCAAGGTGGTGCAACAGTACAACACTGAAGATGGACTGGTGGCAGGTGGCTGCGGCGGCCTCATACCCGGCAGGCGTCCTGGTTGAGGAGTGCGTCGGACTGGTAGGTGCCCCATACCTGACAGACGTCCTGGTTGGGACCTCGGGTCTTAGATGTTTAGGTTTGGCTGCGATGTCTGTTTGGTATTAGGCCCAGACTATCAGCGCCCCTTCATCAATTGGATAGGAGTAGCGACAGTTGTTGCTTAGACGGTGTTTTTAGTCTTACTGTTGTATGACTTTATAAGGTCTTGTGAGAATAATTAATAAAGTGGCCGTATGCATCACCCAGATGCAGAGGCCGGAGGTATTGTTGAGTAACGTGATTGTATTAGGAAATATATGTTAGACTAGGAAATATTCTGTCTTGCCTTGTACTCCAAGTAAATCATGTACTCCTATATATATGCCAACAAGGCTCAAGCAATACAATAAACTATTACACCAATCCCTATCTCCCTTCTAATATGGTATCAATTTCCGGATTCTAAACCCTAGCCGCCGCTGCTTCCGCACCCGCGCGCTGCCCCTAGGGAGGTCGGCCTCCATGACCGCCGCCGGAGGCCGCGCCGTCCGTACCTAGGGTTCGTCCGCTGGCCGTGTTGGCCGGCTGCCCTAAAAAGAGTCTTTTTTCCCGATCCTTTGATCCAGGTTTTCTCTCTCTCGCCGGTCGCTTTGATCGGCGTTTCCTTTTTGGTTTTCCGGTCCATGTGATACAGTTTGCGTCACCCACTGCCGCCGTCGATCCCGTGCGCCTCTACATCAACACCGGCGCGATCGACCGACTTCTTCATCGACCCGACGGCCTCGCGCGTCGTCCGCGCGTCTGCCTGTCGGTCGCCCCGACCTGGCGGCCTCGCACGACGTCCTTGCGTCGGCCCGCCGGTCGCCCCGACCCGGCGGCCTCGCGTCATGCGACGGCCCTTCACCGCCTCCATTCGCGCGACGGCCCGCCCGTCCATCTACGCCGGCCGTTACCGCCCTGCTTTGACCGGGCCACCTGCATCACCCCGACCCGACGGCCTCGCGCCATGTGGCGGCCAATCATAGCCGCCCTGCCGCCCCCTGCCGCCGGCTTCATCTTGGACTCCGCCGCCACCGCGCCTCCACCGAGCGGCGTCCCCGACCTCGCGCGCGATCGGATTGATCACCCGCCCGCCGCCGCGATCCGTCTCATCTACGTCGTGCGACCGACCTGGCCCGTCGGTTGCGCGCGCCTCCGCAGGCCCCATGAAGACTGTCCCGAGTTCAGCGCGCCCCTCTACCGATCGAGCAATGGGCTGCCGCTGTGTCGCCCCATCGGGCCGCAGCGCCGCCGCCCCGTGGTTCTTCTTCCAGCTGCACCGACCCGCATCACCGCTGCGTCGCCCCTTCGGGCCGTAGTACCGCGGCCCGTGGTCCACTGCCGCCTAGAGGCCGTCCGCTCCAGGACGTCCCCGTGGCAGCACCGACCCTCGTGCCGCCACTGCGTCGCCCCGTCGGGCCGTAGCGAGCGTGGCACGCGGTCCACGCCGCCGTTCAGAGGCCATTCCCGCGGTTGCACCGACCTGCGCTCCTCCACCGCGCCGCCCCTTCGGGCTGTCGCGCCGCGGCCCGCGGTCCCTGCAGCCGCCCCGAGGTCTTCCCGCCGTCACCCCGACCTGCCTACCGCCGCTGCGTCGCCCCTTCGGGCCGTAGCGCGGCGGCCCACAGTCCACTTTGTCGTCCACGCGCGTTGACTTCCTGTGGTATGCGTCGCGCCACCTCCCTTGGCGCGGGAACGCCACCGTCCGCGCCGGTCTTCGTCATGCTGTCGGGTTCTTCACCTACTTCGAGCACCGCTGCCGCGCTCCTAACCTAGCCGCCGCCGCCGCTCTTCTTTGGCCGCCGCCGCTACCCACGTAGCCGCCTCCGCCCGTCCACCTCCTTCGTCTTCGTCCAACACCGGCCCGTCGCCAGCGTCGCCGTCATCTACCCCGACCACTTCGTCTACTCCGACAACCGCAGACGACATCGGCTCCGCGCTGATTGACACCGCAACCGTCGTCGAGTCCTTCTCTGCTAGCCTCTCCGACTCCTTCGACACGGCGTACAACTTGTGCAGGTCCTCGTCTATGCATGCTCGGTGCTGGCAACACCGATGCGTGCCTTCGTCCATGACGTTTCCCCGGGCCTGGCAAGCCTGGTGTGGCGCTTCGTCAACTTCGTCTTCGTCCGTCTACGCATGCCCGGTGCTAGCAACACTGGTGCGTGCCTTCGTCTACAATGTGTCCTCGGGCTTGGCAAACCCGCCGCGATGCATCGTCAACAACGTCTTCTTTCCGGCGCACCACTACTTCGACACCATTGCGCCCATGCTAACTCAGCGCCCTTTTGGGCCTGCGGCTCCATGGCGACATCCTCGATACCGTCTCCCCGACTCAACATCGACCACGACATTCTTCGCGCAGCTACCTCGACCACGGCTACACCACCCTCGGCTCTCGGCTACCTCGACAAACGGCACAAAGGGCTACCGCCTGCTTGAGCAACCTCGTTGGTTTCCACTCCAGCCACGACTTCGCGATG